CTGTGTGGCTTGGGCCATCACACCCTGCGATCTGATTTCTGAGAGATTCTAACATGGCTGATGGCACAAAGATTGTGCACAAGGTTTTTTAATTCATCTGAACACGTGAGAAGGCAGACAAACACAGTGATTAAGATTCTCAGAGTTTTATTATTCTTCTATTTTATTATCTTTTATAGGTTATTTTATAAACACAAACAACTATGAATCGCTCTCCTTTCATAGCGGATGCTGATGAATTCTGTACTGGCAGCCCTACAGGTATAATATACTAGAAACTGTTGCCTGCATTAATGGAAATCCTGTTAGCCTGACCAGATGCAGTCCGGCTGTATCACAAAATCCTGCAGGGAAATAACAATAACAGTCCCTGCAGACAGTTGCTCCTATTCAACTGCCTTGTCAGGACTGAGTTGTAATATTCATTTTAACCAGGTGATCTTGAGCTCTTGTGCTCCCCAGGCTTCTGCCAGCCTTTACACCCCACACAGACAAAGAGAGGTCTCGCATTTCATTCAGGTCTCACGACAAGTGGTTATGCTACTCAGCCTCCAGCGGGCAACGTGTGGCACAATGAATGTAGCTGTCAAGCCACAAATGCGATAAGAGCACAGAGTGAGATTGATGGAGAGCGAAAATGATGATGAGTGACTATGATCACAAGTCGAAAAAATATGAGGTGTAACAGACTAACAGATAAACAAATAAGAACAGAGTATACATGCTATGTCCGGATAAGTAAGTTTTTTTTTTTATTCATTCAGGGGTGTCATAAGCATTCCACTTGCATTACAGTATAAAGATTTCGAAAAATAAATGCAGTTATAGTAATAGGTTAAAGGCTTTCGATCACACATGGATGAACTCCAGCAATTTAGTATGGCACTTGCATAAAGTAAGGAGACTTGCAAGAGACACAAACTTTTCCCGCATAATGCAACCCATAGGGTTTTTCTATAGAACTTCCTTGATTTGAAAACATTCCGTCCAGAGCCCTGGAAGACATTAGAAGTGGAGTGCTGCTTTTAATGAAAAAAAAACAGTTCTCTCAACAAACTTTTCTTCAGTTGCAAACATTTTTAGTTTGAGACTGACACTAATGCATTTTAAAACCAAAGGAGTGGGTTTGAGTGGCACAGTTCACAAGGACTCAGGGTCCAGCATAATCTTTAGGAAAAAAAGAGAAAATCTTTAAAATTGGAGTGTAAGAAGTGCTGCAGGACTTGATTTGAGCAGGAGGGCACTGGGATGACAGGCAGGCGTGCGTCTCCCTAAACCACCCACTAAACCACGGGGCTGCATCTGCTAGTACACAGAAGGTTGTCTGCACCTGACACTGTCTAGTGGACTCAGATGGATTGCACATTCTGGGAGGATTTGTTGTTGTTTTTTTTCCCTTCAAAGGCGGGACGGTGACACCTCAGAATGTTTGATGGATTAGGTGGCTGTGCCTGCTGTGACAGACAGAGTCGAGGAGGACAGTCATGATATGACTGATGTCTTGGGTAACTGCCCATCAAGCAACTGAGATGGAAACCCTTTTCTACTGATGCAATCTCTGCCGAACCAGATTGTGGGACAAGAAGGTGGATTACTGACGAGGCCTCTTACAAGATAAAGAAATATAACATTTTTCAATTATCTCACTGCTTATTCAAAGTAGCTCAAAGTAGCATTTATCAAAAAACTGGGTTTTTGCTGATATGATCCTTTATACCACAATGAGCGTCCATGCAGAAATCCAAATTAAATGTCTGAAACTGATGTACTAACCCACAATGGTGACCACAGGAGACATCCAGTCACTAACCTCCTTATCTGAATGTTACAGTTACAGTCAATTTATATCATCGGGCTTATTAAGTGGGCAAATTAAACACAGCATTACATTACATAACTCCCACTGCACCTCCAGCCTTAAATGTGAGTTCCATAGCAATAAAATCAACACCAAAATGAAAAGCATTCGTTAATTTAATAATGTTATTATTATTCAGCTGGATTGGTGAATTTCTGCCTCAAAACAAACTGGCTTGCACAGACGTGGCTAGAGTGGCGTAGCTAAGGTGTGTTGATCGGACGGTTCGGTGCAATTTGGCATGAAATTACGTTGCGTTTTCCGCCTGCTCGAACCACATGTTATTGCAAATGGTCCTTCCTTTGTTTCAGTTTCATTTAAATCCCTCCTCTTCAGGCAAACATGAACTGTGAGCGGTCAGACTATTGCTTAGTATTAGAGTCATGAATATATAAGTAAATGTGATTTACTGAACGTAGCTTTAATGAATTGATAAATTATACAGACAGTTGGAATTGTAACGTGCTACTGTAGTTGTTGCTTATATATTCACAAAATAATGTCACATCATTGCAAATGGACGGACTGAAATGTGTTCATCCCTATTCAGCCTCTTTACATCCACATCTGCTCACCAAAACTGCAAGAAAATCGATGAGGCCAGGTTGTACTAGTGGCCATAAACCTATGGAGTGCCATAGTTCACAGTGATGCACCCATCAATGGATATTTTATAATAAGAAATAACCAGGGAAATTATTCTAGTGAAGTGACATAGTGCCATAAAATCAACTGTCATGAGTTTACTTTACTAATCACTTTTTACTGGCAATGCTTAAGAGCATTACTAATAAAGCCCAATACCATACCAAAACCATAGCTAAATCATCATTAGCATAACATGCCAATTTGAGGATTAAATGATCATCAAAGAAAGGGCCTGAGCTACTGCTAATGCAGGTCTGTGCAATTTCCCAGTAACCTGGAGCACAAAGAAGTGTCACCCATGTGATTATCCCTATAGTGTATAATAGTGTTTTTCATAATATGTATATGTGTATGTAGTCTGATTTAACACTTGTATATTGCAGATTTTTCACATGAATGATGTGTCGTTTTTTTTTGCTTACTCACAAGAAAATATATCACTACTCTCTTTTCCAAAAAGTGCCATTTATTTTATTCTGGATTCAGTTAATGAACAATATTTAACACAACAGCACTACCTGAATAGGACATGGCACTGGTTTTAATTGCCAGACCCTTCAATTTAGCATAATCTACAGAAAGTTATCACTTCTATTGTGAGCTGTGTAAGAGGAAAGCTTCAATTTATTATAAGCGTTGATATATTGAAAATTACAACTCAGATAATATAGGTCAGAGTCTCACAAATCTGCAACTGCTTATGCCTTGTGTTATTTGATGTTTGAATTAGTTTTTTTTTCCATTTCAAAAGGACAATAGGACACCAATTATCCAGCTCTATTAACTGAATAATAAAATAATCTTGATGTTATTGTCTGCCTAACTAATTAGCTTTTTTTCCAACTGAAAGCACATAACAAAAGACATGTATGTGGTTTATAGGCAAGAACAACTCAAATGAATGTCATACGCACTGTGCTTTGTTCTTCCTCTCTTACTTCCATTACAGTACTTCTCAATTTAGTTGCCTACAGCTTCAAAAAGCACCTAAACTTCTAATTAAATCGCTGTCATGATTACCGGAAAATTATTTATTTATTTCTAGTGAAAGATTAATAACATTGACTGAGCAGCGCAAAGAGGATAATTTAGCCTATCTGTTTGAACTTGATTTGATTAATGTATTTTGGTCGTCGGCTGTCATTGAAACATGGCTGTGCTGTATTCACTTTTTCAGAAATTTGAGTGGGTTGTCTCCAAGGAGCACCTGAACTGATTGTGTGATAACTGTAGAGTTTAAAAGTGTATGATGTTACATGCTTGTGGAGAGACAAGAATAAGTGTTACTTCTAAAATCCATGAGATGACCTTTTTTATTCTTTATGCACTATGGGTCATTTTTGTGTGCATACTGTACAAGTGAAATATATCATAGGGGTGTCCAAATACTGACTTAATGGTCTGTACCTTCTCCTTAAACAGGAGGTTAAGAGGCACGCATTTTGTCAGCCATGTCCCATCGGTCAGTGCATTCGCTGGGTCAGGTTATGACAAATATGTCACCCGTGATTGTGACAGAACACTTGGAAAGGGTGGCACTGGAAGTTATTAGCTTGGACGTGAGGGTTCGGCTCTGTGAACCATGCCGCATAATTCATCTGATTAATGTGTCATGGCAACTCATGAATATTCATACCTTTCACCTGACTGACTGCGTAGAGTCAGAAAAGGAGTCATAAGATAAAACTAGTTGAGGTAAAGTCACCTGAGGAGTGTTTTACTCATGCTGTACACAGATAAAAGTTCTGGGAATACTGGCTGTGAGAGACAGAATCCATCCAGAATCCATCCAGAATCCATCCAGAATCCATATTATCAATTCACTTTCTTTAGATCATTAAGTGTTTTGCATTGAAAATAGGTAGAAAAAGAAAAGGAAGGGAAAGCCTGTTTTGGGAAAAAGTAAGATTGACGGTGAACTGAAATAAGGTATATCTAAAAAGAAAGACAATAAGGGATTGAAATCCACAGTTGGAGGAAAGGAGAAAGACACGATACAAAGACAGAAGCCAGGAGAAAGTAACAGTGAGGGAGGACAGAGGAACAGCAGTAACAATAGAGAGGTCGATGCAAAAGGGAGAGATCAAAATGTGTGATTAGGAAAACAGAGAGGGAGCACGGATTCAGGCATGTGCGGTGAAGGATTATACCAACCCAGAGCTGCTTAAGGTCTGACCCATGACCGTAACCTCATAGCTTTATTGTCAGATAGTGTATGAACCCTGCGTTTCCCAAGAGACTCACTGTCTGCCTCAGCATTGACCACTGTCCAGCTCTGGAGACCAGCAGGCAGCTCAATGTCTCATGAATATTGATCTGACCCTCCACACTTGCATCCCCCCACAAAAGAGGGCCAAGGGTCACCTGCACTATTATTGTGAAGGATATACTTGAAATGTCCATTGATTTGTCAATCTAATGTGAATAACAAAATAAGCGGGTTTCCTAGGTGATGAAATACGACATGTGAAAAATAACAGTTGGTTAAAATGTCTCTTTCTGTGTCTTTTGGCTTAAAAACATAGACTCAAGGCTGATTCAAGGTATTGAATAAACCAACGTCCAGACAGAAATGAGCTGTGAATTTTGGTTAATCAATGTTAATGTACACAGGGTTTATGTTTTACAAACAGCAACACAAAAATAAACTGCTCAAAATCAAGTTTAGCACACAAGTTGATATTTTAAACTAGCTTCTTATCAGCTGTCCCCATTTTACTTGTATCGTCACTTCACCTCCCTTTGTCTTGTATCTAATTACTCTGTAACCCCCCCAACGTGTCATCTGATATTTTAATTGCTTAAGAAGCAGGCACAGCCAACGCAAACCCCTCCAAGGTTTTATTTCTTATTCAAATTTCCACTGATTTTCAAAAACAAATTAATAAACTGGCACTATTCTTTACACTTATAATAAATGGACTATACTAAACCCTTCCTGTTGTCTTCATCTTCAGGAGGTGAGTGATGCAGACATCATGGAGCTGGTTCACAGTTCTCTGGGGCGGATGACCATCATACGTCAAATCTTCCCATTGTGGAGAGACACCAACGTTCGCTGTATGAGGAACAATCATCGTATCTCCTCCCTGCTCTGTGACCCGCAGGAAGGCTATCTGCAGTCCCTGGAGGTACAAAAAACGCTTAAAGATTTTCTGTTGAAGCTCTTTAAATGTTGACCTCTTTTTTTATATAATTTTATTAAGAGAGAATATTAAGAATAATTTGTTATGGACTGTATATCTCTATATATATGCACTAAAATATTCCTGGTGGTAGGCAATTAATGGATACATGAAAAATAAACATGAAAAATGCCTCCCACAATCCTTTAAATCATCAAAGATAGGAAAATAAGTTCTTACATATCCCACATTACATTTTAAAGAATGTGTTTGTTTTTCCTCCAAGGTTTTACAAATTAAATCTGCAACAAAAAAAACAAACCAACAGTTTTTTATATTCATCATACCAGGTGAATTCATTAGAAATGAAGAACATTTTACTAAAAAGCATAGTCCTTAAATCATGTACTGAACAAAAAAAAACATGAAAGACATAATAACTATTAGTTTATACACACAAAAAAACCTGATATGTTTTGTTTCAACTGTTTGAAAGGATTTAATTTCAAATTCCTGCTTTTAAGATTCAAATGGTTCACCCACTGTGGGCTTGAAACATGGCTTTAAAAGGTTGGAAGCTTCCTCTCATTCACAGAAAACAGTGGCTGTGGTCTGTCAGTCACAATGGATTCCAGTGGTGACTATTTTTCAAATCACCAAAAAGTATCAAAACATCAAAGAAAATTCTCAAACCACTCCAAAGTCTCAACTGTCCATGCAAATGCTTTGGACCACTTTGGTCCAAACAGTCACAGCTTCACCAACATAAGCTACTTTCAGAGGAGAATCTGAGCTTTGAGTATGGTGAAATCATAAGATGGATGAGGCTGTACTGAGTATTTGATGAGTGGCAAGGTTGTGTTGTTTCTTTCTTGTCTTTTATTCTGTTTGCTGCGAGTATTTATAGGACAGCAACTTTGTGTTTTAGGAACAAACCACAATTGTCATCCCCTTTTCCAGCAGCAAACAGGAGGGTCATTTGTAATCAGCTGTAGTAAAAGAACCATAAAACAAGTGTGTTTTTTTTTTTTTTTCTTGCTTGATCACACATTTTTCACATTTTAGGTAATGACTTCTACAGCATATGCATGCAGCTATGGTGTAGGACAGCATAGATTAGCATCTGCCAAGTGCCACATGAAGACAAATATTAACTGATTATGTATGCAACTGAATATAGATTAAGCTCCCTAGATAAGGTAATTATGAGGGACATGAATGACCATGAATATAAATGACTTGAGCTCAATGTGACGAGGGAGTAACTTGCAGGACAGAGTAAAATATTGTTTTAAAGCAAATTTCATTAATGTGCACAATTAATTAAAACTTTTTACATACCCAACTTGTACAAACGCTAAAAACAGTATATCATTTGTCAATAAACTACTGAGATATCAGGAGCTTAACAAAGGCTTCCATTGCATTTAGGATTTAGGTCAACCAGGAACCCAACCCTAGGTAAATTCAGCATGACAATGGGGGGCATTAAATGAAGATATGCCCTTCAGCACCATCCCAGTTTGTTATCCATGCAACACAATCTTCTTTGGGTCTTCATACTAACCTTGCTCACCCTGCCACTTTTTTTTTAAGATTGCCTCCTTACTCCTCTAAGACTTTTCTTTTGCTCAATCCATCTGGAGTGCAATGGCTGTGTTCCCTGTAGCTCTATTGAAATGTTCATTTTCCTTTTCATCCATACTCCGGACAGATGGCAAAACCATGTGGTGTGTGCACCCACAGTTCTCAATAATTCACATGAAAGAGGGTTAAATATCGGGTAATGGCAGTTTAAGCATTCATCAGAATAGTTAAACACTGAAGGGGAGATACAAGTGCTTTCCTGTACTAATCCCTTTCACAACCCATCAGCTGTTGTGTGACCTCAGATATCCAGAGCTACTCAGCTTCTGACTGAGTGACCTTGAGGTAAGTGAACTTGACTTGGATGATGTCTTACCACTGAGAGGCTGAAGTCTAAAGGTGTCACGAGCTGAATGCCTGGAGTGGCAGCTAGTATTGCCTCCATGGATCTTCTGCTGGGGGAGGATTTGACTTGACTTTATTTGACCCAGAGGACTTATCAAATCCACTGTCACACCAAGACAGGAGGCAGTAGACATGATTCCTGACAGGGTGCACTGCAGTTGGAGGGAGACAGTTTGACAGATTGCGGCTCTGAAATGAAATGAAATAAATGAACCAATATTTATTTTTGTTTGCCTCTCTTTCGCAATTTGAGATCACACCACTGTACTCGATCATTACTCTTAGCTTTTGTAAGGGTTTTACTGTACGTATCATTTCACTTGATGCAGGTGGTCAACCTCAGTGCTTCACCAGAAAGTTTCTTGCAAGTGTGAACATGTGAACAGTCGGAGCAAGGTTGCCGCTGGGTCTTCATCTCCACACCAAAAAGTATCCATTCCGATTTCCATTGTCAAAAAAGAAAGAAACTGCTCACCAGTTGTCCCCATGCTTCCCATTCCCTTCTTCAAGCAAGGAGACAAGCTTTTATTTGCCACTGAGAATGTTTTTTCACCATCTAACTTCACAAGTCTAGACAGAAAGACAAGTGCTTTTGTGTAAATGCTTCATTCACAAGGGTTCACTATGGGGCTGTGTAGCCATAAAAACTAACTAACTAACTATTTGTTGTATCCAGAGTTTGCATTGTGTTGCATAGCACAAACAATAACAACAAAATCCTAGAATGGATTTATTGAAATAGCTTGTTTTTACCCGCAACAGGTCTCCAACCTCTACCTGTATGATAGTGTTCTGATGCTGGCCAACGCCTTCTACAGGAAACTGGAGGACAGGAAGTGGCACAGTATGGCCAGCCTTAACTGCATGAGGAAGTCCACCAAGCCATGGAATGGAGGGTGGTCTATGCTGGACACCATTCAAAAGGTATATGAGCTTAAAGTTACCTTTATTTCTTGCTGAACATAGCTGTTGCTTTGCATTTTTCTATTTTGAATTCTTTGCAAAATTCTATCATGGGTGTAGTATGATATGACCAGTATGATGCCTGCTAGAGACTCCTATCAGATTCAAATTCAATTCTTTTTAAAGTAGCCTCAAGGAAATTGATTATTAAAAAAAAATCTCCAGGTTGGGCTTCAGGATGGATTTGCGGCAGATTCTGGGCTTTGATCTCTTTATGCTTGTATAACCCTCTCAGTTCTTTTAAGCCGCTTTTCCACCGCATAGTACAGCTCAACTTGACTCAACTCTACTTGCTCTTTTTTGGTTTTCCATTATGGATTGTACCTGGTACTACCTTGGACAAGGTTCTAAGCGAGCTAAGCTGATACTAAAAGGTGAAAGCAGACAACTGATTGATCCTGAAACATGAGACATCCTGCACAAACCCCACATACCATCAATAACAACCACCATTTTTTATTCACTCAAAATGGCAGCCCACAAAACCCAGCTGTGGTCAATTGTCAAAGTGCAGACGTATCAAGAAAGCCATCCTATCCTTTGTTATAAGAGTAGAAGCTCCTCTTTGTGCGTGTAGTTGATATGTGGGTGAGCAATAGGGAGTGACAGTAGTACATCTGAGCGGTACAGAGTAAAAGAGAGCAGTTGTCAATCTGGCAGTAAATATACAGTGTAGATTACAGTTTGTCAGTGAATAAAGGCTGCAGCTTCTCAAGACCATAGTAAAGCTCCCTGTTGTTTCCCAACTGCTTCGCTATGTCGATCAGCTCTGCCTGTGTTGATGGGGTACTGTCCAAAGTACCATCTACAGTGGGGAACGAAGTAGAGGAACCAGAAGTAGATTACAGTGGAGTGGTACCATGTAGTGAAAACAAGGATCTGATTTGGGCCACTTTTTTCATTTGAAAAGATCAGATTCCATGTGATTTGTGCTGTTCATACTGTCAAGGATGACGGGTCCAGTAGTGTGTGAAAAACGCATGATCCCCCTCCAAGCTTACGTGTGGCAGAGATAATAAGGCTGCACATCTTACAAAGTGGCTTGATTTGATCCATTTCAATCTGATAATGGAATTTTTCATTGTTGCAGAAAAGTCACGCTGGTTTAATCTCAAGTGTGACATTAGATGACCAAGCGGGGCATGAAGAACAACAAAGAAGGGGGCATTCTAATCATATTGTTGTGTTGGTGTCATTCGAACTAAACTGTAAACTAACTTAAATTGATTTGATTCATGTTACAGTTTGGGATTATTTTAAAACTGTACCAGAATGTTTCATAGAAGGTGATTTTACCTCACCAACAAAACACAATTTTCTGAAATGATCTAAATTCCTTTGATAACCTTATACTGGTACCTAAAAGGCTGATTGAATGACACATAGTTTAAGTGTATGATTAAAGGGATAATTTGCATAAATGATATGGTGCAGTTAATGGCCAACAACAGTGAAAACTTCCCCTTGATGACTGTAAAATGTCACAATTAGGTAAAATGCTACTAAGGGTGCAGCTCAGCTTTATTAGCTCAAATTTTTCATGTATGGTATGTTTTGATACATATTATATTATTAGGGGAAAGTAAATTAAATCTATGCAAACATCTCATTTTACTAAACTGTGATGAAAAGTATGATGTGAAAAAGAGTTCTATGTACTAATTAATGCTTGTAGGTTATTTTCTTTTGCAGACAACCTACAGAACCGACAGAAATAAAAGAAAACATTCACCATCAATACTACTACCTCTCCTGTGTTGTGGCATCTCACCCAGTAAGCATTTTCTTCTTGTTGTTGCTACAGGGACGGATCAGTGGCCTCACAGGATTGATGGACTTCCGTGCTGAAGGCTCTAATTCCCATGTGCAATTTGAGATTCTTGGAACCAGCTACAGTGAGACATTTGGAAAAGATGTCAAACGGGTCAGTCTAGAATATTTGATATAAATTGTCTACTCCTCTGTGATAGACTGCTAAAGGGACACTTACTAAGTGTCTATATTTTTATGTTTTACATCAAATTTAAAGTAGATTACTATGAAAATTATGATTTACCTTAGTCTACAGTAGCTCAAAGATTCAGTACAACTGGACAATTTTTTCTCTTATTTCAGTATGTCAAAAATAACCATGTAGCTTTGCCTTTTGTAAGCATTATACATGCCGCAGCAGGGTGTCCTACCTTTCCTTATTTCACATAGTTAAGCAACTGTGCCATGTCCGAGTTATATACTGTACGCTTTAGACCACAGACCAATCGATCAGAGTTACATAGAACTTTATTTTAGATTTAGTTGGTAGATATGATTTTGCAGACTTACATAACTATCCTTTCTGTAGGTGTTGAGAAAACAGCAGGTACAGTTAAATCACTGATGAAAATAGCTTTTCTCTTAGACATGGTCTCAGTGTGACCACTTACTGTGTGAGGAGAGAAATAAAAGTGAAATTAAACTATATCTCATTTTCTCAAGGTCCCCTACAACCTCTTAAGTTAAGGCACTCAATTTCAGTCCTCAAGAACTGGTTTCCTGCAGGTTTTAGTTATACTCTCATAGTTAATTATCCAGTACATACCAAGTGTGGCTGATTTACTACCAGGGAGGTAGAAAAACCTGCAGGACACTTTTCCTTGAGGATCAGAATTAAGTGTCAATTTTACTAGAAATTCTGTGGGTTGATTGGAGTGCCTAATAAGAACAAATACTGTATAGAAAGGCTTCCAACTATCTATTGTTTTGAATGTGCTATTTTTTCATAGACAACTGGTTCTCCATCTTAACCTTCAGGATCCAAAACCACGCTGGGTTGGATCCAGGTTTTTTTCTTTCTTGGATGTCAGATGAATGCAATTAACTTATTGGTAGAGTTGAAAATCAGCTGTACTCTGATCCCTGAGAACCACGGTCACAGGGCAGTGAGGTGTCAGGTTTGAGGGTGCCCTCTACTGGAGCTCCTGAATTAATCAGATCAATCTGCTATGATCTTCCATTTCACTACACCAACTGCATACTGGCTTGTTTGTTTCATGACCTGAGAGTTAAAATAAACAAAGTGTGTGCTTCTTGCTAATAACTGTACTCACAAACAAAACATACCACTTTGCCTTTGACTAGTAGTCACAGTATGTTTGACCTGCGGTTATGTGTTGAGCAAAGACATTTTACATGTGTTAAAAAATAACATGGATGCTATGAGCTGAGCGTGAAGTCTTTAATGAGAAACGTGTCTCATCTTTGAGGGTTGCAGAGCTGAAGTGAAAGATTGAGAGCATTATTTGTGCACTCTTCTCTTAGCTATAATTTGTTTGTCGCTGTGGATGTCCTGATTCAGTCAGGGGCTTCTTGCAGAATGAAGAGGAATTGAGTTTCTTGGCAATCTATGTAGAGCAGGACTGACCAGAAGCGGTAATGAAGATTTAATCACCACTCAGCCTAACTGAAATCATGAAGCCAATTCATCATAATGTGGCCATTAGCATTAGCTCGGAAGAGACACACTACATGCAGTGCCATGTGTATACGCGCACACACAGGCACATACATACACTTTCATGTCCACCAGCAGTGTCACACATTTAGACACAGCGTGATGCTCGCAAACAGCAGAGACCCTAAGTACATTCACACACAAACATGTATTGTACATGCTGTTCTGGATCTCAGACACTAAGAGCATGCAGCTAGGCGAATAGACAACAGAGGCCAGGGAGCACACTAACATGTGGGCGCTTGTATCTCAAAATCATTAGAGGCAGAAGGGGACAGCAAGGCCAGATAATAGGATGCCAAATGCATTCAGTGCTCTTGTTCATTACCTGGCATGTCTATCTGTATGTCTGCCCACTACTTGGCAGAACCATTTACTGTGAGAAAACCATCTTTTCTGTTTTTCCATAATAGGATGTTTCTATATACATTCAGCATGTTTCATATCCTGCGTTGTGTAAAACATGGCGTGGCTTTTGATGACAGACACCACACACAATTTCCTCTGCAATGTACTGTAATACCATGTCACTGTGTTTTTTTTTTAAAGTGGAGTGTAACAGTGAGATCCACCCACAGACCCACATCCACCCCTTAGAGCAATCCTCATTTTGTCCCCTTCTCGTCCCTCTTCTATCTTTTCCTTCCATTTCATCTCCTATCCTCCCCATCCTAGCCTCTCCACTCTATTCCTCCCTAACCCTTTCCCCATTTCTCAGCCATGGTTTCCTCCCCCTCCATCATCGTTTATCTGCATTCAGTCCATTTTCTCCCCAGGCTGATGGCTCTTAGATGAGGCGTCTTTCTGGTTAGAAACTGTAATGAAGACTGAAATACTATTTCCTGGATGGCTACTGTGAGTTTTCTCCACCATCCAGTGCTGCTGCAGAGTGATCGATGCTATTGTTGTTGTTGTTTTGCTTTCCCAGTTTGCTCTTATTGATGTGTCAGCTCGTCTCTAAGCAGATATTGCTAATGACTTCCAGCTTACACGAAGCTCTTCATAGAGAAAAGTCAGTTCATTTGAATGTAATTGTTCCTTCTAGCCAAGCATCTTGCATGCATCATGCAGTAGTTATCTCTCAAATGTGTGCACAGTAACAGCGCTGGCATTGTTGTATTATTCAAAATCATTTTTATCATTTTTTTATCATTTGTACTATTTTATAGCAAAAAAAAGATTACCCTAACTGAAAGGGGCAACTCCAAATACTCCTCATTTAATTTTGTGGTTAAAAAATGTGTCAAAGTACAATTTTTATATTTCATAAAAACAGTATATATTACCACTCACTTGCTATATGATGACATTGCTAAAGAGCCTAACCTGTGCTGCAAATAATAAACAGTATGGCATGTTTGCCTGAGACATGTCACAATTAGCCCTAGAAATAGAGAAGTGAAACACAGTCTCAGGTAAGTTAAAGGAAACTTTTACGTTGTGGTAGCTCAGTGTGTTTCAATGCTTTCAGTTGAAAGGAGTCTGCCATTTTTGCTGCTCATCACATATATCCTTCCATTTCATTATCTCAGGTAGCTAAAAATGCTTTGTTATCAGCAGTCTAAATGTGGCACCTACAGTAGCCAGATTTGAAGAATAACACACCAGAATCAGCAAAAGTACATCAATCCAAATCTGATTGCTAACACTGGCCCAATGCTAGCCCAGGTATAGTTAACTGGAGCTGATTCTCACCCTCCATAACCCCAACACTAGGCAAATGTATTGACCATAGCTAGCTCTTATTTTGTCCTCTGGTGCCCAAACAGAGCCAGGTGTGCTCACAACTGGTTGCAATCAGCCATGGAGGTTGGATGATGTTGGATGACTCTTATTGGACATCATCACACCTTCAACCAGTACCAGTTGATGTTTTTGGCAGTGGGAGTGGAGGTCAGTTTGTTGCATGTACCAAACCCTAGTCGTTTATAGCTGATGTATTCGTCCTAATGCTCAAACCTATTTCTCACTGGTTCATGAAGCAGAAATGGCATTGAATACTCTCTGAAGGGTGCTTCTCCCTCGCCAACAATAGATCTGCAGGGGGTTGATAGGGCTGTTGATCCAATGATTAATTTGCCAGGAACTGAGATTTCCAGCTTTTAGAAATGTTCTGGCTCCAGTAGGGGTTTTGAAACCTCCCCCGCCTGCTGAGATTTTCACCTGCAGAAAGATGAAGAACAGTGTTTCATATAACGGTAGTACATGTATTCATATTTCTAATATATCACAAGCCAAACTGTCATCAAGAAAACAATATAATCATTACTGTTTTCTACAAATTTACACTATAATATAGTATTGGTATATTTATACAAATTATTTTGCTGTATCTGTGCTATCATTAGATAATTACCCAAGTGTTTTTCTCTAGTGTGTTTTTATTTAATTCCATCACAAGCCACTGGAAGCAGTGCCAGATACCTGCTGAAATGCTGAAATTCCCCAGTCAATACTCAGCATCAATAAAATTACTCAAAGCTCCTATAACCATATCCAATTTAGCATTGAGGGACATGATATCAGATTGGTCAAGTATGCTGTAAGTAAATCACAGCAACATTATAATTTTGCAACATTATAATACTGATAACTGCATTTTCACTCTGCATTAAAAGGAAAGTGTTAAATGGGCAGTCCCCACTTCTGGTTGTCCCTACTGCCACACTGGCAAAAGTAAATCCTCTTCAGAGTTTAAAATTATTGGATGAAAAGTGCAAATTTCTCCATATCCCTAAATGTATTCTCTCTCATGTGCTCCAGTCCATCATAAAAACAATATTGAACAAATGTTACTAACCTTACAACCATCCAGTTCATTGAAATGCACATCATCTACAGGACCTGCTCTTTGTTGCTCTCACTTCATGAGGTGAAGTAAAAAATAATTTTCAGTTCATAAGTGGATATGGTGAGTTGAAAGCAGAATCAGTAATTCATAGTTTTATAATAACTGCAAGTTTGCATTGCTCTCACTGTCATATGTTAGCTTTAATGGTCCAGTGTGTAACATTTAGGAGGATCCATTGGCAGAAATTGAACATTATATTGATACATATGATACCATTAGTGTATAATCACCTGAAAGTAAGAATTGTTGTGTTTTCTTTACACAAGAATGAGACGTTTTTATCTACAGATGCCACCTTCCATCGAGTCCGCTATGTTGACCTTTTTCTACGGTTGACCTAAACGGACAAACCAAACACTGGCTCTACATAGGGCCATTCTCATTTTTAGCGGTAACTGTAGTTTCTACTTCATGCTTGGAAGGGGAGGGTGAAGCAAGAGAGTTGCAGTCTGCAACTACATCACTAGATACCAATAAATCCTACACACTGCTCCATTAAGCCTTTTGTCTGAAGCCTATACTGCAATGGGCCCATATCTATTCCATTTTTATATGCAGTCTTTTTTAAGCAACATAATAATTAACACTGAAACAGAGGATGGACGATAACTCTGCCTGCTGTATACTGCGCAGATCTAACTACTGATACAGATACTGTGCCTAGTATTTTCTCTAAGATAACACATTGTATAGTAAGTAAGTAAATGCAGGATTGAAGGAAAACAGGAAAAAATGTGATCATTGAGAGCTCAGAGCTTCAGTTTTCTTATTACGTTTTCTCCGTGTGATTTTATGTTGATAGAAGAATGAACTCACTTCATTTTTCCCCCTCATGTTTGCCTTTTGCTCATTTCTCTTCCAAGTATTTCAGACTGACTTTTTCTGACAGTTTTATAAAGCCTCATGTTGCTTATTAGAGGTTAGAGTGATAGACTGGCGCCATGTCGGCCCAGCTCATCTCTAGCATATCAGGACAGATAAGATGTCTCTTGTCCTGACTAATTTAAATGGTCGGCTTATTTTTCACTGTGTTCCTGGTGATAAAAGATAACACAGCGGGCATCATTCCAGCCTTTTTCTCTGGGATGGAGGACGCAAAGTGGAATATAAAAACTAAACAAGTTCTAAATGCAATTGTACAGACATTATATGCTCACATGGTTCAGAATCAGAAATCAGAAATACTTGAAGACATATACAGGCGTATTAATTAACGTATAGGGTACATTTACTAAGAATAACAGTTGGTTCAGTAGGCATGCACAGTCTTTGTTAATCCACTTGGTGAGTCACACAAAGGAGTGTGGGTCAATAAGAAGCTCGGTAGCATGATGGGCTTGTCGATATATAAGCACCTGTCGGACTGCAGGGGAAGGGAAAGCAGAATAGCAGCAACTACCTCAAACTATGGTTCAACATCCAAAATGATGCAGTTTAAACGGTTCTCTGAAAAGGAACTGACTGCTTTCTATAAAATTTTTAGGAGCTACTGTAATTGAGACAGTTATGGCGCTATGAATCCAGGCCTATTTGACTTCTATCCCTTTGTCGTTTTCAAGTGGTCATTGGCATTTACTCAGCCCCATTACAGATGATTATTTTACGGTATTGAGCATCATACGCATTAACTAAATAGTGGTCCTGTTATTTGTGTGACTTTTTAAATTGGATATTCCAAAATCTCATTAGCTCGATATTCTCCATTGTGCCTATAGGATAAAAACAAAGCATATACCTTATGTTAGAGAAGGAAACAACTGACACTCTTGGTGACTGATTGCTATGCATATTTATAGGAATACTATCTAAAAGTTAAATCCTCAATGAGCTGACACTTGAAAGAAAGCAGCAGAAAAGAGATTTGGCGTCAAGGAACAAACATTTATTTTCTTTCATGCATCTTTAAGCATATTTTTCTATAATACATCGTTACTCAGTAGAAGTATGCATCTTGTTATGTATGTATCTTGTTAGCATTATGTCCATGAAAATCTAAAATCACAGGTTTTGGCATGTTTATTTTGGGGGTGGTTTGTCAGAGGAAGTTACCTGTATAATCCCTTGACATTTAATAGTAAAACAATTATTCTTCCACAAATTAAATCAATAAAAGCTGGTAATCAAAGATCACAGTGACTCATTCATATGCAGGTGGTGCAGCTTTGTTGTATGTAGTGTTTGTGACCTTCCCAGTGGCGTGTTAGTGTGCAAAGCTCTGTGAAGTAGAAGTGTTCGTCTTTAGTGTTCTTCAGTTTACAGAGCAGAGATTGCTCAGTGTTTTTCTCAGAGGACGAAGCTGCTCATGGAGAAAATAGTCCCCTGTGAAGCAAGCAATGCAGACTGACATTCTGCCCCAACACACACAAACACACAGGCTGGACAAGTCGCATACATCTGCAAACAGATTAACAAGTAAACTATTACAATTAGATTGTGCAGTACTTGCCTACAGAATTGTACTCTCTACCCACATATGGCTTAAGACCTCTCATCAACAAACTTAGTTTACATTTTTCTGAGCAAAGTGTAGTGAAGCAAACACATGTAAATACATACTGCATAACTCTATATTATATTTACAATGAACAGCTGTGTGAACAACTGATCTCCATATCGTTAACATGCACACAGTGTTTAGATAAAGACCTTTAGAAGGCATATTTCATGAGTGACATCCTGCATGGGGGGAAAACAGTTTATATACACCCACACAAGCTGGCGGGTTATAAACATGATTCACTAGCAGTTTGCGGTGGAGCTATACATAGCAATGCAGTGTAAGTTTTAAGACTGAGAGACTATCTGGTCTGCAGATGTTTGTGAAGAACAAAAGATTTAACTAATAATGAAATATTCTTCTGAAGTTGTTACAAGCCCCTATTTTTGCAAGCCTCACATGCTTCTGTTTCATTCACAGCTGAAAGCCTTTGTTGCTGCCTTGTGTATGAGTAGTAATTGTTGTTTTGTCCTGATTGTATAATTGTTTGCCTTTGCAAATAGTGTCAGTGACAGAGATTTATGTTTGTTCATTTTGTTTTCTCTCGTCAATCTCGACTGGTAGCCAACTGGAACATCACAAGAATACAAAATCATATATTTAAAAACGTTAAGACAACATGCTCTTTTTCTTTTTGGCTCTGATGTTTCCACGCCCCAAACCCAACGGTCTATGCCAGGGCAAGTAAAATAGCAAAGGAACCTCAATATTTCATGAGAATCTTGAAGTGTAAAAATATCTCTACTCCTGTTCACTGGTTTTATTTCTGGTAGCTTTTTCGACTTAATATCGAGTGAAATGTGTAATGCCATCTCTTCGAGGGCCAAGTCTTTTAGCATTTTTTATAAACCTTCCCTCACTGACGAAAGTGAGTCATATAAGCTGCCTATTAAGATTCAGCTGGATGTAATTGTGCCAGAATGAGACATGTGTGCAGTTTCTCCTAGTCAGAAATTACCCAGTTTGAACTCAAACTGAGTGCTTCAAAGAGGTAACATGTACACAAATAGTTTCACAAGGTTTTTCATTTAATAAATGGTTGTATTGAAAAATGATATGCGGTTATATTTCATGAAATAAATGTAACAGAAATTGTAAAAATGTAGTTGCTATACATCTAACATGCACACAACACATTGACATTGAAGTCATTTAATTTAACAAAACTAAAAAATGCAATTTGCAGACCTTTAAAAGCTTACTGATAATCATTGTTGTGGAGTACAGTGTGTTTCTGTGGGAAAGGTATCTGGACGAGTCTCCTGCCGATGGGGCACGTGTGCTGTAGACTAGGCAGTGCTGTGGTCAGAAAGGCCTGTTTGGCTTCGGGCCACCATTCTTGTCCTGTCAGCTCAAATCTCATAGACTACTCCAAATGATGTGTCAGATCCTCCAGAATCCTTGTCCGGCTAGCAGAACTGATTAAGAATTGAACAAACATCAGCTTCGCAACTTCAGACATAGCTCAAAACATTGACAGTGTGGAATGAGAGTTTTATGAGAGATAGATTCAAGAAACAAACTCAAGCTGATGTGTAACGTGTCTGAAATTTAAATTGCTTGGTTCTTATTCCGCAGTTTTTACATGAAGAGCATGACGTCTACTTAAGGCCCTAATTATATAACATTGTACTTTTCCTCCCTCTCCTTCCTCTCATTGTCATCGTCATCCTCATTATCATCACCACCCTTATCTGTATGATTACTGGTAAAGTATAGTGTAGAATGCTTACAAAGTGTGCTAATACATTGCAGTATTGTGGTGAAGCTTGATTAAAGAGTCCTAATAGCATGCTAATGATAGACACTTGTTGTCTTGGTAATCAGCTCAGATGTTGACAGACATTGGCCAATCAGTGTTCAATATCACAGCAAATTGAGTCACAAAATGGCAGATTGGATGATGCCTTTTCTTATAGCTCAGTAGCACAGTTTTCATAGTTTATTTACATTGGTTATGGATGTATTAATGAGGTGTTTGCTGCCTTTGTCTCTCAGAGACCTGCTCTATTTTTCCAGTTTTATCTCTTTTCCACATGTATCTGATTTTTGTTTCTCCCCATTAGCTGGCATCTTGGGACTCCACTCGTGGTCTGAACGGTAGCCTAAAGGAGAATCGGATAGAGAGCGGTATGCAGGGAGTGACGCTCAAGATTGTAACATTACTGGTAAGTTGTGGGAGTACGCTGAATCTATTAACACCTGACCTAAGTAGGCAAATATCTGAGTAAGAAAACAAACACCACAGTATAGAGGAAACACATCAACACATTTATGAGGTTGTTCTTTACACCCACAGATTAAGCAATAGCTTCTCTGTTTATAGTCAAACATAATACTGTGAATTTATTTTGATTTATTCTACTTTTCCTTGCTTTCTCAATGTTAATGACACTCAACATTTCCTGCAGATTTTTCACAAAACAATGAGTTTGCATTTAAAAGCATCTTGTCTTCTTGAAAACATGGCAAATTAAGTCCTGTCTCTAATAATAGCCCTTCTTAAGAAAAAGCTTATATGATACCTGAGCTGAGGTAAATAAAGAAATTATTTAATAATCTACTGTAATATACAAAATCTAAATAAAGTCTTGTTTTCTAGTGTCTGTTGGGTTCAGTTAGGATAGAGAACCAACAAGGACAACACAGGAGAACTAGAACTCGTCTAGTCTACTTTACACTGTTTGCTCACAGTTGCTGAGTTTTCTCTCTCCATCTCAACCTGTGGATGTAGAGGAACAGAAGGCCACTAAAAATCAACTCTACATTGCAGCAGCTGTTCTTCAACTAACTCCACCAATTCTAGAAGACAAAGTAGCGACAGACTGATTAATCAATCGGCTAATTAATCAGGCCAATTATCTAGAATTTTAAGATAATTGGCGCCAACGCAAACAAAAAATGTCTTCAGACACATCTGCAGGCTGCTTTTTCAGTGCTCCTCCTTGTGAGGGAGGTGGTGGAAAAAGTTGGTTTCAAGCTCTGTACTATAACTCTCATGCATCCTGCTTTTCTTTGTTTTTCATTATATTTCAGCCATTGGCAGCCCTGCTCACTATATTGGCATCAGCCACTGAAAACCGCTAAGCTAAAATCACTCCCCTCCTCCTGCCCCTCAGTAACTTTTCCTCCCCCTCTCTTCGTTTTTTCCTCTTCTTCACACATGATTTACTTACACCATATTTATTCACATAAGTTCTGCTCAGCTCTCCCCTGGCAGTGTCACTTAATCAAGTAATTTGCCTCTGCCCACTTTAACATCCCCCCTTCTCTTCTCTGTCCCTCTCCCCCTGTCTTCTTCAGCTCTCTTTGCCCCTCCCTCACCCATTTAATTCTGCCCTGACACTTTCAACCCATAAAGAAGAACCACGGTGGGGTGCAATAAATTTAAAATGGCAATTTCAACGTTGATGAACCATAGCAGTTGCCATGGCGCCATGTGTTACAGGTCAACAGTTGCTGAGAAAACTATTTTATTAAGATGAAGTTTAACCTAGATCACCTTAGAAGCTCTTCATAAAGGTGTCACCCCAAAGTTCTTAAGATGACTGACTGTGTCCTCGTCTCAGTGGCCAATCTGGCCCCCGAGGAGATTATGGCGCATCTTGATAAATGACATGCCTGTGATTAAGTACACATACTCTACTCTTTTCCAGAGTTTGAGGATAAATCGCAGGCTTAGAGACAAAATCCACACACATTCACATTTCTCAACATTACCACTGTTAGTCTGTCTTATCCAGAAACTCTTTTAACCAATTGTACAATTTTCATTCAAACAGGAAGAGCCTTTTGTGATGGTGGCAGAGAATATTTTGGGCCAACCCAAGAGATACAAAGGTTTCTCGATTGATGTCCTTGACGCCCTGGCCAAGATCCTGGGTTTCAAATATGACATCTACCAAGTTGGAGATGGGAAGTACGGCTCAGCACTCCCTAATGGATCCTGGAATGGCATGATTGGAGAACTCATTGGCAAGGTTGATGTGTTTTTTTTTTTTTTATCTCAGTCAATCATGTTTAGATTTTACTCCAAATAATTTTTTCTGGGATTCGAGCCACATTGTCTTATTTTGAAATGGGAGCCCAATTATAAGGCTCAGTAAAGTGGAAAAGATTAGAAAAACAATGTATGGGCCAACAGCCTCTATCTGCAAATCAGTTTTCTCCAGTGGATCACATCACAGATTGATTGAACTTGGTCTGATTTCTGTTTTTTGGAGGGACACTGATAAAGTTTGAGAACTTTACAAAAGCTGTTACGGTTCATAAAGATGACTCATGTTTCTTTTGAGAATTTCAGACGTTGTATTACTGTAAGGCACATGCAGTCTCATACTGAACAATGTGGTGTTAAACACAACAAATTCTAATGTGATTACTGTCTCTAGTTCCAACATGTGTTCACTGAAATGACTATCACCGACTGATGTTTTCTGTTTAGAAGAAACAGACTTTACACTTGATCAAACATGAGTTATGTTTCCTCTGACAAACCATATTACATTCATTGATAATTGATCGTTTTCAGCATAAAATAGCCAGATAAATTGGGAGTGGAAATAATATGGACTCCTGAGTTCAAACCTCAATAAAGGTCTAATGATCTCCCTGGTTATTAGCTTCAAAGTCAACAATGTTCTGGGTAGATGACAGAATAGTTATATAAAGGCAAGGAAAAGTTTGGTTTAATAATGATGAAAGATCATTGTGTCAGAAAATGAAAAGGTTTTCTTCTTGTTAAGAGCATGGAGGTGCACAGAGAAATTATCTGTCTGAGTAGGGAGCCAAGAAATACGTGTATTTTAAGATTGTGGACAGATGGTGGTTCTTAAACGTAAGAAAAGTATTACCAGTTTTACCAAAATCAATAGGGTTTTTCTTATTGGGAATGAGTATGTGCACACCAAATATCCTTAAAATTGTACCTTAGCAGATATGACCATTGTTTGGTCAGATGGTGTTTCTAGAGAAAAAGACACAGGGTTTCCATGATAAAGAATGATAGGTCACAAGAGGTCACAAGACAAAGAACAAAAGGTCACAGGGTCACCAAAAGTAGGTTTCTTTTTTAGGGAGTATTTTAAGTCAGACACAACTTTAAAAAGTTTGAAACATGGAGGTCAGATGTCAGATTCTCTTTCAAGTTCTAACAACATAACACAGGCTTAAATCAATTCTTCTGTGTTAAAAAGGCATGTTATTAAGTTAAGTTACTAAAATGAGAACATATGACTCTCCATCCACAGCGAGCTGACTTGGCCATATCAGCCATTACAATCACTCCGGAGCGTGAGAGTGTGGTGGATTTCAGCAAGCGCTACCTGGACTATTCAGTGGGAATCCTGATGCGCAAATCAGAGGAAAAGATCAACATTTTCTCTTTGCTGGCACCATTTGACCTGGCAGTGTGGGCATGTATTGCCGCAGCCATCCCTGTGGTGGGCATCATGATCTTCCTGCTCAGGCGCATCCAGGCAGTGCGCTGCCAAAACAATGCAGGAGGCCATCCACCACCTTCCGTCTCCACTTCGCTTCAGAGCGCCATCTGGATTGTGTACGGTGCTTTTGTGCAACAAGGTTGGTGATATGTTTTGAGTCTAGCCTTCACAAGATGCAAGGGCAGCAGGTACAAATTATGTATTTGTCATATAATGGAGGGCCAAGGCTAGGCATTCCACCCAATCATAGACAAACCTCTTGTCAACTTCACTGTTTCAAGGTGTGTTATCTGAAAAAGTCAGGGTTGAATGAATAACCTGCCTGCTCTTGATCTTCAGTGGTACATCATTGGACACCAAGCACTAGCCATACAGTCCTTAAAGGCCCAGTGTGTAACACTGAGGAGGATCTATTGACAAAAATTCTATATAATATTCATAGGTATGTTTTCATTAGTATTAATCACCTTAAAATAAGAATCATGTCTTTGTCACCTTAGAATGAGCTGTTTTTACCATGCAGAATTGTTATGTTTCTACAGTAGCCCAAAGTGGAAAACCAAACATTGGCTGTTGACTATGCCTTTCATTTTTGCGGCGGTGTCTCCTACATGCTTGGAGTGATCTGAGGGTGTTGTAATCTGCGATCTCACTGCTAAATGTCACTTAACCCTACACACTGGCCCTTTAAATGTGAAAGCCTAAATCTAAGCAGAACAAAAAGGAAGAAAAAACACTAAAACTACTTCAAGGGATTAGAGGATTAAAATAAAAAGTCCAATCAATGAAAATGCATATGTGGATGTCAGTATACACGCAAATGCTGATTCAGTAGTGAGTCAGTTTGAGGCACAACGCCCACCCTAGCATTTTTCTAAAGGTGCCCTTGTCAAGGAGAACATCCCATCTTTACGTCTGGTGGAGATCCAGGTATGTCCAGTTTGGATAAATGACTACTTCAGCAACTGATGTTAGAGCCTGAACTGCATCTATCAAAGTCTGGCACACTGCCTTTGAGCCTTTTTTAACCCAACACCCACTATATTTCAAGAGAAGCTAAATTCTATGTCTTTTTTCTGCCTCCGTTTTTTTTCTCTACATTTCTGGCTCGTGTTCCAACGTTGCCATTTTTTGTTTCAGTCAAGTGGATTGCATTATTTCTTAGGATGACGTAGATCACTTTGATGTGGATCTGACTGCTGATGCAGTGTGCCATTGTCAGAAAGCATAAACTTGGCAACTGTATCCCCCCAATGATTTCATAATGATATACCAACACTTGGCTGTGTTTTGTTGTATGTTCAATGCAGATTAAACTATCCACCCACCGACACAATGACCGCCTTTTTTGCTGCAGTTTTTAAACATGGACTGCCCTTCTTTTGTTCAATGATGAGGTCAGGGAGAGGTATGAAATGATCAGAAACTGTCTAGGAGAACTGATGAAAATAACAGTTTTTACTTATGATGAGAGAGTTTAATCAATTTGTTTCACAGATGAAAGAGACTGCACCGCAGTGGACAGTAAGATCCAGTAAAGTTTCATAATGCACATTTCACATTCAATGACCTTAAGAAATCAGTCAAAGCCATATGTAATAAAAATGACTGATGCCGGAGTGCTATGCATCTGACAAGGCCTTCAGTTTTTTTCCTAAGCTGTCCTAAGGGCGCAGCTGTGTTGATTGTGACACTTTCAGACAAATATGTTTTCATTACATTTCACACTCCTGAATCTTTCAGATGACATTTCTATGGCTTTACTCCTCAGAATTAGAATGTGTGCTGACATTTTTCTCATGCACCTCATAAGCTGTTGGATATTTGGAGAGAAAGAGTCAGTATGACAGAGAAAAAGTGAAGATGGAAAAGCTAATGTGACGAACCAGTCTTTTCTCCTCAAAGAAAACAAGAAAATGATTAAAGACATGAAGGAAAGAATGTTAAAAAGACAGAATGAAGAATGAATATTAATATGTATGAGTACTATGCTCCTTGAAAAAAATGGATTGGGATGTGTAATAGAATATAAAAGTGTGCAAGTAACATTATAGGGTAGATGGGTTTGAATACACTAAGCTCTTGGGAAAATAAGTGATGGAAACTTACAGTAATTACACAAAATCATAAAATGCATAATAGCAGACAGATCCAGTGTTATATGCAAATATGGGTATTATCTCAAAAGTGAGAGATTATCAGCTTTAACACAAATTAATAAGCATCCGTATATTATTGTTAACATGCATAAAGACTTACATCCCTTTTAGATGATGGAGTATGACTATATTGTAGCATAACCAGATCAATTCACTTAATAGAAACACAGAAAATGTTGGTGTCTGTTTTCTTGTCAAGTTGACTAATCTCCTAAAAGCTTGTTTGAAATGTAGTAAAATAATAAATAATAATTAAAGTCACTCAATACATACTATTAAGATAAGAAGCCTTTATTTTCTTGGCTCTCTTATTATATAAACACTAACTGAAACAATACAATCAGTCACAAGACCCTGATGATTATAATACAATTTTGGCATCATTGCATCATACTCACACCCTCCTACATCAGATGTATGACATATAAAATGTTTTGCTTAAATGGAATTGCAGTGCATATTATTTTTTGGTATTTACACTAGATTTCGGATAAAGGATAGCTGCATTATATTCTGTGTAGTGATAAATAATGTGATGCTTTACCGTATATAGTAAAGATTATGTGTTTATCCCTGCACCCCCACAGGTAGTGACTCCATCCTGGGATCGGTGGCTCTGCGTATCGTCATGGGCAGCTGGTGGCTCTTCACCCTTATTGTGTGTTCGTCCTACACAGCAAACCTTGCTGCCTACCTCACCGTGTCACGTATGGACAATGCTGTTCGGTAAGGCACAATACTTTCATTTTCCATCACACTGGTGTAACTCAGATACACTTGATTCTCTTCTTGTGGAGTCTCTACTATTGCTAGTGCGATTTTGTTATTTTATGATTCTTATTTACTGTAAATAGAATGTAGGTAACACTGGAGAAATTAGGAAGAGATGGTAATGTTTTGACAGTATCCAACCGAAAAAAAACAAAACACAGTGCCTGACTACTGCTGGAGAAACAACTACCTCATGTCGTACATAATTCTACCTACTACATAGTTTAGGAAAATAACAAATTCCCCAAAAAACAAAACAAACCAGATAACTCCCTGTTCCTCAGTTCACTCCATCATTAAAGAGACACACCAATGTTGACTCTGGTTTGATCTTTTGCTTTATTCAAACGTTTTCTAGCCTTTTCTACTTCTGTCTTTCTTTTCTTGGTTTGTTTAGCACTGCACACTGGTGCAGGTGGAACTATACATTCTTGTGCAACTAGCTCAGTAGCTTTAGCAATACCTGCCTGGCCAGCTTGTGGAAGACTCCAGTCATACACAATGAGAGCAGGGGTAGCTGATTCATTAAAAGTTGATCAAATATGTATCTGACACATTGAAACAACAGACGTAGCTTTCTCAATTTGATACACGTTATTTTTTACGAGATTCTGAACTCTGAAGGTCCTGAAATTATTGATGTGACATTAAGGAAAGTTTAACTGGAATAATGAGGCTCCTGAAATATAAGTGTAGCAATCTGCTAAAAAGAGAGATGTATCACTCTTTCGAGTTGTTGGAACTACAGAAATTAAATTAATGCTTTGAGAAATAACAGATTTGTTACCATCACAGCAAATTTGTGATTATATGTGTTCTGTATTTTCAATCAATGAAGTAACTGATCCACCTAAATATATAATACAAGGACACTCTTTAAAAATACCAGTGTATTTTTCTCAAATTTAAAAACACGAACAACCTTGATAAGAGTACTTCACCGATTTTGCATTTTTCTTCCCTGTTAAAACCTGGCACCCACATTAAATTACCCACAATTCAACCCTCCCTCCCTTTAAGCAGACATTTGGGTGTGTTATGCCTTTAGCAGCCAATGTAGTCTCGAGCTTCTAGCCTTAAGCAAAGATGAAGAGGGGGTTACAGAAGTCTGGTAACTCACTTATTTCTAACTCCACACCCAAAGATATATTCCACTTTCAAACTTGTAGTCTTAAGCCCCAACTGATGCCGACTCAAATGACATCACTTGAGGCAATTCATCAGATGTCATGCAGCTCCCTCTGGAGCCATAGAAAACTTCATTGACCTTCATACGCATTTCCATATCTTAAGTAGCACTCCCCCAGACCTGTTAACAGACTTTGATTTCCTCTTAAAACTTCTGCATGCTTTCATGTAATCATTCTGCCTTGAATGAATCTGAGTGTATATATCTCTTGAGATATGTCTACTATAGTAAGGTATTTCTCAGTGGAAACACATACAGACGTTTTGTTATTCTGTACACAGTGTGTGGTGTTTTTTTAGGTAGCATACCGTATATTTTTCAATACTTTAACTATATCTGTGATCTCTCATCAGCTGCAATTGGTACAGAGTGTTTGGTTTGTCTGCTTGTCTGTAATTTTTGACCCGCTGCCTAACAACTAGCCTGCCCTCAGTCCAAATGCTATTTGTCAGTGAATCCAATTTGGTGTGCTGTCTCTCCCCAAAGAATGGGCAGAGAGGCATTTGATTGCATTGGGTCCGTCTTCTGTTGAACAAATAGCCACATGTGGACATGTGACAAGAGGGAGTGAATGCTAAGCAGCACACACACACACACACACACACACACACAAATAGACCTTCACAGGTGTGTGTGTGTGTGTGTGTGTTTATGTTTGGCAATTGGCAATTACACTGTAAAAATTGTAATATGGGAAAAATTAATTTCAGTCAAGGTAGGGGAAAGAACACTGTGACCAAATTTAAAATTTGAACAATCCCGTGCTGCAGATGTTCCTACGTTGCTGTTCTCAGTCGCAACTACTTTATGAAACTTTCATGAAATTAATTGTGCCAAAAATCTGTAGAAACCAAAACAAAATTATTCGCATATACTAAGCACACGCCGTGTTAGAGGAGAATGTGGGAACTGCATAGGAACTGCCTCCTATGATACAAAATGTTTTTACTTTAATAGCCTATAACAGTATAGCTTTCTTTATTGCGAGAAGAAGAGCAAAAGATTGCAATTCCAAAATATGTTTATTGGTTTCTTCAACCAGCATTGCAAGCTAAGGTAGGACAGAGAGGTTTCTTTTGCATTTAATCCTTCTCCTGACATTTATGTAAGATACCTCTTAAATTACCCAGCATCAGGTCTTACTTAGCGGCAGTGCATTCAAATTAACGCAGCTGCTACACTGATCAATTACATAATCTGTGTGAGTAAATACACTGCTAAATGAAAAACTTTCTCTGAACACATTCATGCACAATCTTTGGCTATAACTTGCTAGTAGTTAAGTCTGCCCTGTAACATCTGAACTAAGACAGAGACCAAAAATGGGAATATTGAGGGACAAGTTAATTAACATTTTGGATGGATCAGATAATTTATTTCCCCCAAAAAGTTTAAACTGTGTATGGTGGGTGTTACATATGAACGGCAAAGTGTTGGGAAGTGATTGCTTCTTTTTATTACAGAGACAGAAGAAATAACACCTCAGATCTAACCTTGAGATTGGGAGTTATTTGACTTAATGAAAAACTGGCCGTTCTTTTCAAACTTTCTTGTGGTTCTCTGCGTGTCCACTTATTGTTTCAACATCCTTAACGAGATAGTGGGTCCTGCCATTACCCACAATCAAAGTGGTAAATCTGTCTGGAATATCAATGATTGATTTTCTATTATTAAATCAATGTTAATCAAAAACAAAACACACAGTTCTAACACAAGTGGACATTACTGGATTACCCCACAGTTTGCCTATATCTTAAGCTTTTTAAAATGAATCATTGTCTGTAGAACAGGGGTTACAACGTTGTAACCCCTGTTCTACAAACACTAATTGAGACCTCTAAGACCGTGCAGGCTTTTCTGCCTTTGCGTCATTTTTACAGATACACCTAAAGGTCAGCAAAAATAAAAATTTAGCCTTTTCTGTCAGAACTGGGATGAAGTCCTTTAAGGGTCTTGAACCACTGGAGGTATATAAAGATACTAGATGGGAAATTTGCCCTGGGGAACAAATTCAGTATGTCTACATTTTTTTCTCCCCTGCCCCAGGTGATGCTTAGTAACCATGCTTATTTTGAAAGCATAGCTTACTAATATTAACTTTGGCAGTGGTAGAAGTGACGCTAGACTTATATAGACTTCTGGAATCATTGCTCTGTAATGATCTATCTTTACATCTAGCGGCTCAGCTGTTACTTTCCCTGTATGCAGTTTTTAGTCATGCACGTGCATACTTTCTAATTTCTTTGCCATGTAATACATACCCGTATTACATGGCAAAGAAATTTTCCAGAAGACACTGAATCAGGTAAAAAAACAGGTTTCTCGTAAACCTCTCAAACCTTGGAAAGATTCTGAGGAATATGACCTAAATGATAAAAAAAAGGGCGAGGTGCAGTCCAGGTCCCTTCATTTTAAAGTCAACTTGTTTTTTTTTGTTCTTGGAGAAATTAACTTCCAAAAGTCAGTTACTGACACTGGTATACTGCCAAAAGGGTTTTTACCAGTGCCAAAAGAGACTATATGCACTTCTTTTATAGTATGTATGTGAGCATGCTTCCCACGGAGTGTGCACTTTGTGTGCCTGTGTGTTTCTGAATGTGTGAGCATGACACGTTAATTTGGTTTAAATAAAACGATTAATGAATTTTGAAAATAGCATACTTAAGCCAACATTTACATATTTGAACATTTCTTTAAAGACTGCACGGCTTTTTCCCCCTTTTGTTTGCTCTCTCTGTTAATAAGCCTCTACAAAACTCCTACGCTTTAGGACACAGAGGTGAAACAATGTTCTTTTTTCCATCACACTGCAAAGTAAAACTATTTTATGTTTCTCTCTTGAAGGAGTGAGAGAGGGCTCAAAAGAGACAAAAAGTCAGATTTGTTTTATAATGTTTTTTTTGTCCTCCAGGACAATATTAATAGTAATTAGGTGAACTCCTTGACTGAACTCTTTTGTTTTTAATGTTGTTTTAATTGTTGCTGCTTTTGCCAATTTTCACATTTATATAGCTAAATATAACCATGACCAACTGTGCAGTCAGCCATTTAGCGCCTTTGATTTCAACAAGAACACCTTATGGGAAATTAGTCACAAGCACACACATCACACACATTTACATTTACATTGTGTAGTAGTGCATTGCAAAGGAGGACAAACAATGTGTGTGTGAGGGGTCTTGGTTCTACCATTATAGCTAATGAACAGGCTGGGATGAACCTCTGTATTCACTAATCAAAGTGTGTTACAAAAGCAAACAAGGAAAAGTACTTAAAAAGGATGACAGATGTTCTTAGTACATATAGTGTCTACTTCAAATAGTCATTAGCTGATATTATCACATCCGTGGTTCCATATATTCCGTATATTTGTTTGTACAATACAGGGGCTTTCACCTCTTATTACTACTTTTTTTTTTTTATTCAGTCCAGCTGGTGGATCTAAATATTTATACTGTGGTATTTATCTCAAATCTATAGCCACGTGTGGGTGCTTGTGTAGTTACATAAAAGTGAGAATATTTTACTAGTTGCAATAAAGCTGAAGGGTTAATCTGACAGAATAAGCTACATGCCATGCAATATGTAATCAGTTGTTTCTTCCTCTCTCACCCCTGCCAAAGAAAAAAAGAGTAAAAAACAACCATTGCTACACCATATAGGTCTCTAATTAAATGGTTGAATTAGTCCAATATCATCATCTTGAGATAAGCCATTCGATTTTCTCACTTTTTAGGGAATTGGTGAGAAGACACTCTTAGTTACATAAACATTCTGGTGCAACACAAAATATTGTGATTTTCTAAAGGAATGCAGCAAATACACAGAGCAGCATGTCGAACATATCAACCCAATACCAGTCAAGGAAGTAGGTAATCTTCTGCGTAGATTGCCATTCAAATTACACTGGAAGCAAACTTTAATTACGAGGACATTGGCATTCAGCAAATATGATGCTGTACAAAATTGGCAATAATCTCCACATATAAAATACAGCTGCAGCAAGGAGACTCATTTTTTATTGCCCACATGGCATCTGCATAATAAGCATTTCAATCAGGAGAGACTAGTCCTCAGATATAAAGTATTGTTCATAAAAAGTGGATTAGAGTTTGGTGCAGCCTCCATTAGGGGCTAATGCCCAATCATGGGAATGAACCCCATAATTGGTCAGCAACTTAACCTGCAAACCTGGTCATCATTACTGTGAATCTTAGGGCTGGGTATTGTTAAGAACTTTTGATTCTTTAGGTCACAATTCGATATCGATTAGATTCGATATTGATTTTAAATGCTTCGATAT